TCCGAAAGGTGTTTTTTTTAAGTTTGGGAAATGAAACAAGTCAAAGGTTGAAAGTGCTGGCCAACATTGTTGGTGTGACCAAACATTAACTTTATTTTCATCCCCAGAACTTCTTTACACTTCATGGCCTGTAGGTTTGGACGCTGGCATGAAGAAATTTAATTTAGTGAATTCTTCATTCTGGCTTCTTCCTCTCATAAACCTTTCACTTTTTTGCAAAAAAAAATATTTGCTTTCTAGACTCTTCCAGAAGTTGAAATTACTCCCCTAATAAGAATTTAAACAACAAGACCAACAATATTTAAGAAAGTAGTATATAAAATTGTCTTTGTGCTCTTACAATTCTTTGCTCTTTTTAGGCCTTTGCTGCTTTGTCAAGTGTATTTCATTGTAAATTTGTTTCGAGGATTTAAAGCAAAGTGGATTCAAGTTTCATTATCTGTTTAAATTTCAGACAAACATGGATAAGTACAATTTTCTATTTTTTTTTACAATAATTGTTTTGATATTCCTACACGCTGTCGTTTTCACTCATTTTTTTCAAAATATTGGGTGACCTTTGAGTATTAAACCTTTTCACCATCAAATGTTTCTTTAAAACAGTGTGAACTACCCCCAAAAAGATGTCCATCAAATTTGCTATATGTCTTAATGTCAATTAAACATACTCAGTGATAATTTGTTGAATTTTTGCAAATATACAATGGTTGTTGTAAGTCCTTATCACTAAGGATGGTACCCATTTTCGATGCCCATTATATCATTTTTGTTCATTGAAATCCACCTTCTCCTTTGTGTATAAAACAGACATTGGTTTCTGTAAATTTCACATATTTCCGTTAATATATCTTTGGGATTCTTAACAAGTTTTACAGCAGCTTTAATGGAGCGTTTAATTTCACTCTAGTTTACTGATTCTTGACGATTCATTTTAAATGCAGTGTCTCGAGTAGCCCTCGTTTTCCAGCTTCTCATAATTGAACTATGTGATGAAAAGTGGTCACATAAACTGTTATCAACTCATTAAAGATTCAATAACTAGAGAAAGTCAATCCTAATGGCATATGATTTCTATGTTGCATGTCATCGAACTGATGACATTATTTATTGAACATCCCTTGTATTTTGAGAGAAAATAAGGACGAATTACGATACCAATACTTAGTTTTTTTTATAGAGGTGATAATTTGTAATGTAATATTTGAGTTTTATAAAAGTTGGAAAACATTTTGGAGTAAAAGATATTGGCATTATTAAATAAAACATTCAAACAAAAGAAGGGAAACATTTTTATGCGCCCGGTGTAAAGACGAATAATGACCCCCATCGAATAATGACCAAGGGTCGAAAAATTATTACTGAAAAATGACCGGTCTTTTGCTCGTAGAAAAAGTGTCACCACCCTAAAAATTTGCAGAACCCACGTGAAGAGAAATGACCCCCGTAGAAAAATGACTCCCTGTTGATTAAAGCTGAAATTTTTAGGGGGCAAAATAAAAATTAGTTAAAGAAGCATATTGGCCAAAATGCTCACCTGAGCTTATTTGGAATAAATTGATGATATGTTGATCTCATAACATACGATTATAGCTATATTTTAAGGTCAATGCGGTGATTCAGAATATAAAGGAGTAAAGATTTATCGAGAAGGGTTAGGTAAACATTGTTTTTCGATTGTGGGAATCATCGTACTGACAGAAAAAATCAGCAGTATCATATATAATTTTATTCTCCGCTTGAAAAGCGGGAGGGTATATAGTGATTAGGGTGTCCGTCCGTCTGTTACGCTTTGGGGTATCCATCTGTTATCCGCAACTCCTCTTATATATAAAAAGATGTATTTGTAAAAAAGCTAAGCCCCTGTATTGCAACATAGCGAAGATTAAACTTTTCTTAAAGGCAATTTAAATATAATGGTACCCAAAGTAGGGTCTTCTCACAAGAAATATAATTGCAAAATAGGAAAGCCCTAGCACCACTTGTTCAAAATTAATGGCTAAGGATAAGTTTTTGCAACAAAAGGTAGGTCAAACTCAAAGGTCAAAGGGTCAAAGTTGATGGTTTCTTAAGATAGGTTTAATGTAACAAGGATTACATTTGTGAAGTATGAGAGTACTAGTATCTACTGTTTCAAAGTTATAGCCAAAGTAAATTAAAAATTTGGCATTTTTGTGTAAAATGGGACAAACTCCAAGGTAAGGGTCAAAAGGTCAAATTTGGGGGTACCCAAAGTAAGGTCTTATCACAAGGAATGCACACATATTGAATATGAAAGTCATAGCTACAATAAATGAAAAGTTATGGTCAAGGTTAAAGTTTTTGCGGAGAAACAGACCGCCAGATAGACAGACAGACATACAGACGGACACGATAAAACGTATACTAGTATACCCCCGAATCTTCGATTACAGGGACATAAAAAGAAATGGTCTTCAATTAACTTTTCATATTATGATACAGTATAAAGAAGACGTTACAAAAATGAAAATGTTTGTTCTGATTTTCATATTAAATTCTCTGAAAAATATACTCAGAACTGGGTAAAATTGTGGAGTAAAACAAGAATTAAGAAATGTAATGAATACTGTGTGCTAAATCAAAAGGTTATGTCTACATGTATAGTTTTTGCATTAGAATGTGTATTTTACACTAGCCAATAGCTTTACAGAGTATATTTCTAGGTGTTATACCCACCCCACCCCCTTACTTATTTAGGAGGAAGTTGATTATCAACAAAACAACAAAAATAAACCCTACCTTTATTTTTCTATAAGGAGGGAATAAAAATAAGCTTAAAATAATCTTTTCTATTAATTTTCAACTGTAACTCTGCCACAATACTTTCTAACCCCCACCAACATTTAAAGTATGATTTAATCATGGCGAAGTAAATTATGATATGACTGAACTTGGGTGAAGGCTTAACTTCATTTCAATATTTTATCTAGAGCCTCTTTCAGTATTATTGAAAGGTACAGAGTTTTATTTATATTTCTGCTTTTAATTTAATTTTTGTTTGTTTTGATTTAAAGCCGCTTGGTCCGATTCTAATCGCTAAAAAATATATTTGTTTTTCTTAGGACTTGAAAAATAATTGTCCAAAAATTATTTCAACTTTTGTCAAATTATATCCCCAAAGTCTTTTTCTTTTTAAAGATATCAAAATTCAAAAGTTAAAAAAATAATTTTTGTTAGGTCACACAAAAAAATAATCCTTTGTTTACATTGCGTGAAATCGCCTTCAGAAAATTAAATTTATCGCTTACATGTATAACTTATGAAGAACAAACCCGAGCATTTTTTCCACAACAATGTGTACACGGGCAATATTCTAGCCCTCTTAAAAGTCTTTACTAAACTCCCTTTTAAAAAATCTTTAAAAATATCTGATTTTCCTTTATTCTGTAAATATGCATATTAATATAAAAATTACTATGGATTATATTCAGTTAATTTCTTAATTTTTATATATCATGACTTAGGATTCTTTTTAATGGAAAAAATACTCGGGTTTGAAATCTCTTCATAATTAGATATAACCGATAAAAGTATTTTTTTCAAAGGTAACTTCAAAACAGATCTTCACTTCCCGTCAGGAACTGCTGTTTGTCAACAAGGTTTTTGGATATGTTTTCGATATAAGGATTGTTGTATATAATGACATACTTTAATTGTTTAAAATAATATGTACCTGTTTCGGGTGAAGCGACTTTAACGTAATTTTTGGGGGGGGGGGGGGGGGGGGATTTCCTACTCTTTCATTGTCAAATAGGATTTGCGAAACTTATACAAGCTAAAAGTTGAAATGAAGGAAAAATTAATTTTTCTATTAAAGGGTATTGGATGCCAAGTTTAACCTTTATATATAGTCCTTGAGTTTGGAGATAAACCTACTTTTGAAAAAAATTAACATTGCTCAAACCTTTAAGGAGCTGGAGATAGGTAAAAAAAATTTTATAATTATTTCTTAAAGACAGGGGTTTCACTGGTCACTTTCGTTTCCTTTAATGGGGGTTAATTTAAGTTTGACCCACAACTTAAAACCTTTAATCTCGGTCATAACTTTTTAATGGTTAGAGCTTGGACTTTCACATTTCACAGACCAATTTATTTCTTTGGGTAACAGGGTTTCTTATAATTTGACTGGGAGTTTAATTTGTATTTGTGAAACTTCAACCTTTGCCAAAAGCTGTCACACGGGGACATTCGTGTTTCACATTCACATTTTTCCTTCATTCTTTCATTCATTCCAGTTTTGCGTTCTTTTTTTTCATTTGCAATTTGGCTATTTGTTGCTTTTTTTATATACACAAGCATTTATGGGTTAGATTTTGACAGTATCCAAGCAGAATACCAGCATGCAAGGGGAAAAAGCTTTTACTTGTTTCTCACTTTGACAGTGTAAAAACTTCACAGATTCACACGCGTCTTGTGAATCATATGCATCATTTTATCTGATAACTCGAAATGTTTAATGGCCAAAGGAGATGCACTTGTGATTTTGACGTAGAAAACAGAACGAATAGTTAAATGCTTTTAATTTATCATCAAGAAACCTAGCTTGATTATACAAAGGAAAAAAATAATTTTTATTTAACAAGAAAAACAAGCCATATCAATCCATATGAACGCAAAGCGTTCTCCTAATTAAAAGAGCATGCAGTATAGAACTTATATTTACGTCACAGAAAAGGACTAAAGAACTTTGTATGAAAGATTCAGACGGAGACGGAAATCCCCGGACTGGTTTTCTTCTGACCCCAACTGTGTTTCCCCAACAAAGAATCCCTGAGTTGCTGATCAGGGAATATATATATATATATATAATGAAGTTATCAAAAATAATGGAATATACTTTATTATGGTCTAACTGTATAAAAATATTCATAACTGTTAGCATGTATTACTATTGCTTCAGAATTTTAAAAGATACACCGAGCCTTACGATAGTTACCTGTATGCATTTCTTTGAAATTTTTTTCATCCGCAAAGAACTCGAGCTCGAGAGTTTCAAAGTTGGCCAAATACCCACCAGCTTTTAAACAATTGGCCTTTAGAATGTAAGACATAAAGAATCAGTTGCTATAGTATTAGGTGATCAAAAAAAATTGTTGTTTATATACTTTCATTTTAAAACATTTTTGTCATTGTTTTCTTACAAATGCTGTGTCTGCTGACACTCTATCTTTCTTGATCAGGTAACAAGAATCCAGAAGTTTTCTAAACCCTCTAGGACAACCGCCTTTGTTTAAAAAAAGACGAAGTAAACCATAGAAGGAAATTGAACTGGCATAAAGCTTGTTAAGTTTTTGAATTCATAGGGTTTGAGGATCTCCCTATTTAAGTAAAGTCCGCGTTTGGGAAATTCTAAATCATTTGAACTAATTACCAAATACTCTAGCAACAACACTAATGTATCTCAGCCAAATAATTCTGCATGCATATCATGATTAAAATTTTTCAAAGTTAAGTAAATTTTACGAACAGGGGGTTCAAACTAAAATTCAAATACCGGTGTTGTAGAGTAGGATTTCCCCCATTGCCAGCTCCCCCCCCCGGAAATTATACTAAGGGTAGGATTTCCCCCAAGGGGAAATCTCACACCAGAGCCAAATCCCCTTCTTTTTCTCAGGGTAAATTCCCCTCCTCGTTATAGAGTCAATATAAGCCACATACCGCATCATTTTTGTGAAAAAATAAAAAAAAACGAGAAACTTTTTCAATGGTAAATGAATGTTTTCAATTAATTAAGAATTTTCTAAGCATATAGTTCAAATCATGGAATCTCAAACCCGAATATTTAGCTTTCAAAAGAAATTTTAAACTCCTCAGATGTCTTAACATCTCTAATAGCACAGTCAGTGGTAATTGTATGTGTCACATATTTTTAATGTGCAGTATATCAAGGCTATTTAAAGTTTAAAGATTAAAATTGGCTTTGAGGGAAATCGTACTCTTTAACTACTACACAGAGTAGGATTTCCCCCGGAAAAAAATGAATCTGGTGTGGGATTTCCGTGGGGATCCCACTCTAGAGTAATTTTTTGTGCCGGAAAATCCTACTCTAGAGCCTATTTTGAGGGGATCCTACTCTAGAGCCAGTTTTCCGGGGTGAAGGATTTTATAGGGGAAAGCCTACTCTACAAGGCAGGTGTTACATATAGGTTTATTTTGGGTAATATAAGATATCAAAGCATAAATTTTCTAATGCTGAGTTTTACCAAGTAAGAATTCTTAAATAGTTGTGATGGTAATTAAGACATACTAGTATAATTATGTGAAAAGTGACATGAACGAACAGCAACCATTCTTAAAGTCCATTTTAACAATAAAACCTATAAGCAGAGCCAACACAGACCTTTGCCTCCTGTCACATTTTTTGTTGATAATTTATTTTGTACTTGTTGACTTGTATAGAGCTGCCTTTCTGGGGCCCTGTGAATAGTCATTGTGTGTGTGTCCAAAATTATGTTTCTAACTTGAAGCCGGGGAAATAACTGTCGTGACATTTCATTGAATGACATTCAGTGTGACGTATGGTCCAATGTCTTATAGAATTACGGACCACTCAGAAAACACTTGGAAATGTAAGACTTTTAAAAAGTATATAATATAAATATAGTCCTTTGATGAGGTCGATCCATAGATATATTGACTTCACAGAAAAGCATATCGACCGAGCTCGAAGTGCGAGATCGCTATGCTTTTCTGTGAAGTCGATATACAATGTATCTATGGGTTGACCGCATTAAAGGGCTACATTTATTATTGAAGATAATGGGAACAAGCCATAAGTTTTTGTCTTGTCTTTTTTAACACTTCGAGACTCTTTAGATCAAAATTAATTTGGGCTGTTTAATGTAGTTGTTTTTCCTTTATATTGATAGAGTAATTTACTAGGGAATTAAATAATTTAAAAGGCTACATTTGTTTTTATAATGTTTTCTACTGATTTTTAAAGAACATCTCTAATATGTTTTAATATGAAGTAGATCCTTCTTCAAGGTACTGTTATGTCTTACCAGTTACTGTATTACAGAACATCAGAATTATAAATAGGAGTTTAAGATTATTTTTCTTTTTCAGAAACATTAAGTTAAACACTGCATTAGCTATTCCTAACAGAAAATTATTAATTTTCCATTTTTAGGAACATCAAGTCGATATGCATTTCAGAATCTATAAATAGTAACACAAGTCTTCATGCTGTTGTATGCTTGATCATGTGATCAAGTTTGAGCCAATCAGAGAGCTTGGAATAAATGAGAAAAAAAATATAAATCTATATAAGTAACAATCTTTAAAGGTTTAAGAATATGAATTATCAAACCCTGATGACTAACATGGAATTCTTGAAATTGAGGGGAATAAAAAGTAGTCCAAGATAATCCTCTGCATAATTTCGTTTAATTGAAATAATATAAACTATATATTAAATAAACTTGAATTTTCAAGATTAAAAATACCTCCAACGATTTCAACTGCGTCAATATATACAGTATGAAACGGAGACAGTCAAATCGTTTCTAGCCTCAGCTCGTTCACAGGAAAGTCCACTCTCTGAGTACAATAGTGATTATTTTAATTTTAAAAAATTATATGAAATATCTTAAATTTAGATTACTAAGGGACAGAAAATAATTTTCCAGCTTTGATTCGATTCGTTATGTGCATGTTTCCAAAACTTTATCTCTATTTAATGACTTTCAAAAATGTTATTATTGTTGAAAGATCCTTCGTAAAAAAAGATACGATTAGTTAAAGAGTTAAAATTTAATGCGAATGTTTTCCAATCAGAAATTTATAAGAAATACCCGGTGCACTAAATTTTTTGAAAAATACTCACTTTTATTTCGGGGGAAAA